CTGAACCTGCTTGTGTTAGTCTGCAAACTGCGTAAATGGGAGAGGAATAGAAAAGAGTATGGCCCGATGAGAGGAGTCTGAGAAAATCTTCCATGTCTTCTTGTGGACATCCTGTGATTGCCTGTTCCCTCTCAGCTTAGTGCTTTTTTAAGGTTCACATTCAGTTCTCAAAAATTAAATGTTGAACATGGGTCAATACTCATTAAAACCTTAAAGTAATCAAAAAGTAATTAGTTACATTACTTTTTAAAAGAAATCGAAAAAGTTACACTACAATAACATTTTAAACAAGGTAACTTGTAACTAACGGATTACATTTTTAAAGTAATTTACCCAACACTGTCCAGGATGTACCCCGCCTCTCGCCCATTGACAGCTGGGGATAGGCACCAGCACCCCTGGCGACCCCACTTGGGATTAAACGTATCAGAAAATGGACGGATGGATTAAAAAATCAGTGTCCCAGGAATACCCAGGTCCACCCATGCACAACGGGGCACGTGCCCGTGTGAAATGGGTCTGCCGACGCCAACAGTGGCAGAAATGGGCTTCCATACTACACTTCATGTGATCAGATGTTATACACCAACAATTATTCTGTACTCGAGTAAGCGTTTGACAAAGTATTCTTTTAATCTTACTTTAGTAAATTGTTAGATGAGTAGAAACAAAATAAAGCAGTGTTACTCGTACTTGAGTAGATTTTTGGTTACTCTATCCTCCTCTTCACATTTCCCTTCCCTTCATTTAATATCTATTTTTAATATGTACTAAATTCTGATATTTTCTGCTGTTTTTGTGAACAGAATAAAATCAAAAGTATCAGAAAAATTGTTACAAATACTTTTTCTTGTTATTAGGTTTCAAACACACAATGTTTTTTTTTATGCTTTTTCATAACATTTCCATAAATATAAACATCCTAATTCAAGCTAATTTGTTGGGGTAATTTTTAGGGGTATCACGTTGAATGAGGTGAATAAAAATAGACTATGCAATATTCTTAGCAAATTAGGTTTTTATTTGTGAAAGTTACTGAATGTGACTATTTAATGAACCAAAGAAAACAAGATTTATTTAAAAGATGTTCAGAAAGTTTGAAGAATTTCTTTGCATACAGTTTATGAAATTGTAATCTGGCTGCTCTAAAGCAAATTATATAAGAAAACTACAAGGGATGGTCTGAAATGTTTGTAGGAGAATGGAAATATTCCTTTTTAATTAAGGTTATTATGAGATTTGAAGGTATTTGTAAAGCTGTTCAGCTGACCGTATTAAAGGTGGATGTTTGTTTCTGTGGGAAGTCGGATGCATTCAAAGGATCTAAACACTGTTTGCATTTCAGAAAGTGCGAGAACCCCGTGCATAGAGCACTTACATTTCCTCTGCATCATTCCTTTTCATCAAGAGATGCAGGATATCTGGAGTTAGCATCCTCCCCCTCCCTTCTTACCTTCTAGCTTTTCTGCAATACTAAAAGTAAATAATTGATTGGCTACAGGTCCTGGTAGGAGATGCCTGCCTAGCTCATCACTTTCAGAGCACATTCTGGCTGCAGTGATACAGAATCAGAACTGGGGAATCTGCAAAGCACCCACATCCTCTGAGGAGATACAAAGAACCCTTCCTCCCCCTCCTCTCTCTCTCTCGCTCTCACCATCTCTCTGCTCTCAGTTTGAGCAGAACTGCGCTACACGTAGACAGGCTCTGTTTCACCTCTCAACCAGCCTGCTACCTCTGAGAAGGAACTTCCCATAGTTCACTCACTCAGCCTCCTTTTTTACCTTCTTCGTCAGGATGGAGGAGCTCAGATCAAGATGGATGAAGCTGATCTTTATGACTGTTGTTTGTCTGTGTCTCTGCTTGCCGGGGGAATCGTACACCAAGAGAGCCCCGAAGGTTCCTCGCTGTCCTGCAACCTGCTCCTGCACCAAAGACAGCGCTTTCTGCGTGGACACTAAGGCCATCCCAAAGAGCTTCCCCCCTGGAATCATCTCTCTGTGAGTCCAGAATTCAGCATCCTCTTTATAACCTGCATGAAGCCTCAGCTGCAGGCAGCCTGGTACAGATGGCTACATCACTGATGTCACCCACAGTTATGTAATGATGCATGGAAGTCTCTGCTGTGTTTTAATGATATATAAAGTGCAGAAAGATGATTTTCCTTCTACATCATCTGCCACCGAAACCGTAGGAAACGAAAAATAATAAACGATGATGTTCCTGTAATGTTCCAATCCTGTCAAGCCCCAGAGAGAAATACTAACAATAGATTCCCACGCTCGCTGCTGGAGACATATTTCCTCTGAGAGATCTAATCTCAGTGGGTGAAGAGAGACACTTTTAGTAAATTAAAGCGCAAATAATGAAGACAGGAATTGTTTAAATGATGGGGCATTTTCATCTTACGCTTCATCACCTGTGGATTGAATAGTTTGCTTAAAAGAACAAAGCAGCACAGTTTGAGAATGTCCTGATTTCAAAGCAGAGGAGAAACATCTGATGGAAAAAAAAGTGTGTCCCAGTTTGGAACAGTTGCTCTGAAATACACACTGGCAGGTTTCTAGATGGGGTTGACCTCTGCAATAAAAATAAGACAGTTGCCATGGAGAGGAATCTGTTCTCTACCTTTAAATACATGCTGTGATGTTTTGAGGCTTTCACTTCATTTCGATGTTTTCTGTCTGAGCAGGACGATGGTGAACGCAGCCTTCACAACCATCCCAGAGGGAGCTTTCTCTCACCTTCACCTGCTGCAGTTCCTGTGAGTGCTCCAGCCCCCATAAAAAAACCTATTAGAGCTGCAAACAGACAATATTAGTTTAATGAGCTCTGTTATACAGATGCACCTTCACAGCGCATTAGCAGAGGTGTCAAGTAACGAAGTACTTCGTTACGGGACACTTTTTAGTTATCTATACGTTACCCCATTACTTATTTTTCTTCCTACTTCTGACTTCTACTGATTATATTTTCACACAAGTATCTGTACTTTCTATTCATTGCATTTTTAAAACAAACGTTACTCGTTACACTGCAAAAACGATCTAGAAATAAGTAAAA